TAAATGTTTTCTATGCTGTGTTTAATGTACTGTTGATGAGCAAGTAGTAATAACCCCCTTGAGAAAGATAACTATTTCCTGGATTAAAAAGGCCATAATGACAGTTTTTTTGTTTTTGTTATTAATGTTGATATTAAAACCTACAAGTAAACCAAAGTAATTTTATTATTGTTTTCAATTTCCCCCCAAAATTTGAAAGAATTTAGTCCTTGCGCACATGTGAGGAGGTAGTATGTTGAAGGAAAGATTGCTAGTTTAGGAATCCCAATTAATCACTGATTTTTAGTTAGACAAACTACTTAACTTTCTGGTTATTAAGTCATTTGTTACACTATTTGAGATAACCTGTGGTCTAACTTTATATAAATACAGACTACATAAACTAGTAGGGTGGCAAATTCGGGGTTTGGTTTTATTTTTTGTTATTGTAAAAATACAGTAGTGCTTATCCGTGGGGTAAAATTTTATGAAATATGTGGGGAAAAATAACCACCTCTAAGCCCATCAGTGTTAATATTTTGACATATTTGCTTCTAAAGTTTAATTTTTGTGGCCTGCACATATTTAAAATAACATTGGGATCATCTGTATTGATTTTATCTCCTTCAGCTAATTTGTTAGCTGGACTTTTCTAATGTACCAAGTGTTGAGCACTAGATTTGAATATTAAAATGTCATTTGATGTGGTCGAAAGAAACTGGATATGTTCAGTTGAATTCCCAGTGTAAAAAATCATGACCTTTTATCTACGATAGTACTTGTGGAAATATCAGAAATGATCTCTAACCTAATGTTTCTGAGTTGGTTCTTTAAGATGTAGTTGTAGGGCTGGCCCGGTGGCGCACTCGGTAGAGTGCGGCGCTTGGGAGCGTGGCAGCGCTCCCGCCAAGGGTTCGGATCCCATATAGAGACCGGTCCGCTCACTGGTTGAGCGCGGTGTGGGCGCGACACCGAGGGTTGCAATCCCGTTGCCGGTCGCGGTATGGGCGTGACACCGAGGGTTGCGATCCCGTTACCGGTCACAAAAAAAGACAAAAAGGGGGAAAAAAAAGATGTAGTTGTAAGGGGAAAATTCAAAGTCAAATAAAAAATTATGAAAAATTAGAATTAGGGGAATTTTTCTGCATGGATTTTCTTATACTTATTTGTTTCTTAGATGTATTCTTAAGATGGATCATCACTGTCCTTGGTATGTATAAAAAATAGAGGAAATCACATATGAGGGTGGAAAGGTGGGAAGGAGAGAATTTACAGTGATTTAGTTCAGTATTACTTAATTTTTAAGGTCAATTCAATTACTTATAGATCTTAAGATTGATATATTTTTATATATACATATATACATATTTTTATTAAATGTTTTTCTTTAAAAATATCTTTTAATATTATTAACCCAAATAATGATGTATTAAGAATTAACAGTAAAATTCTAAATTCCTTATAGAATTTATTAAAAACACACATTCACAGTTAAGATACTGCTCCCAACTTTTCAAGTCACCCATTTCCAAGTAATAATGATTATATTTTGTAATTTGTCTTGTTTTTAAATTATTATTTTTCATTATGGTAAAAAAAACCCCACAACATAAAATTTACTATCTTAACCATTTCCGAGAGTACAGTTCAGTAGTGTTGAGTGCATTTACATTGTTGTGCAATCTCCAAAACTTTTTTATCTTGTAACACCAAAACCCATTTCTCATTAAACAATTCCACTTTTCCCCCTCCTGCTAGCCCCTGGCAACCCCCATTCTGTTTTCTATTTCTGCAAATCTGTGATTTGTCTTATTTTTATAGTGTGACTTTCTTTATTTTTCTAGGGTGAATAACTGTGTGGGATTTTCTAATTACAAATTCTTCCTGCTGTTTTTATTGTATTCCCTATTATATTGCCTTTTCGTGGCTATGACAGTTTTAGAGTACTTTATAAAATTTTGGACGGTAAGTCTTTTTTCTGTCTTAAAACATGTATTTAAGACTTAAGTTATTTTATTCCTAAAGAATTACTTTATTCTTTAATATAAGAAGATACCCTTTATTTTAATTTTATTAGAATTTATAATGGATCAGAGAGCCAACAGGGCTACAATTTACCTTCATATACACGTTTATTTGTAAATAGATGTATAAGTATATTAGACAAGATACAGCGTGCTTCTCTTAATGATCCAAATTATTTTCAGCCACACTGTAACAGAGACATGCCAATTTTAGGGTAATGATTGCTTTTCTTTGAATTGGTGAGACTTATTGCAGTTTTACAGTCGTGCTTCTCTTAATGATCCAAATTATTTTCAGCCACACTGTAACAGAGACACGCCAATTTTAGGGTAATGATTGCTTTTCTTTGAATTGGTGAGACTTATTGCAGTTTTACAGTAACAAAAGTGACATCCTCAGCCCCATGCAGCCACTAATGTACTTCCCGTCTCTATAGATTTTACAACGTTTATTTTAATGGCAAATGATTGAAACAATCGGATGTTGTCTTATCAACAGGGGACTAGGGTACTATTACATATCTATACAAAGGAATGCAGTGCAACTTAAGAAAGAATAAGGTAGCTCTTTAAGACAAACGGTGTCAAGTGATCTTTGAGATCTGTTATTATGTGGAAGAAACAAGGCAGAAAAGCATATAGTATGCTCCATTTCTATAGCAAAATAACATACAAGTATGTATTTGTATATGTCTGCTCTGGAAGAATGCATGAAGAAGTTGATAACAGTGTTTGCCTCTGGGAAGGGCAATTAAGAAGGGAAACATGCTTTTTACAGTTGTCCTTTGAATTTTGTATGCCATGTACAGATAGAAATCTATTCAAAATAGATAATGTAGTTTAGCATTTTTTTAATATGGAAGTATTTACTTAAGGGAAAAAGCTACCAAAAGTGTTGAAAGTAGCTGCCTCTTGCAAGTGGGGCAGACGACCACTGTTTTTCATTAATAGCCTTTTAGAATTAGTTGATTTTATCTGTGCATGTACCATTTTGATAAAATTTAGAAATAAATTTAAAAGAAGTGAAAACCCTCCCCCCCTTCACTCACACTCTCTCTTTAAGTTTATTCACCCCTTGTCTCTTTCCCTTTCCATCCACATCGGACTCCTCAAATGCAGGTGCAGTCCTTGGCTTCCTCTTCTTGGCTCTCTGATTTCTCATGTGTTTCTGGGTGATCGCGTGTGCTCCTGTGGCGTTCACAATTGCTCTTCTCAGCCCTAGCTCACACAGGCTAAGCCCCAGTTTCCAGTCTTGAGTTGCTATTTACTGAATCATCAGACATAATAAAGGCACAATAAAAATCAACATGTCTCAAACCAACCTTATTTTCTTCCCTTTCTACAGTTCTTCTTATGTTTATCTCAATTTAATGGGAACAAAATCTATACAAACCTATCAGTTACCAGGCTAGAAAAATTAATGTTATCTTTGAGTTATTGTTATTCCCGTATGAAACTTAGGTCTAGAATTAAGGTGGTAGTCTAGAAAAAAATATGGGCTTTGTTTACATACAAGTGCCAATTCTTTGCTAGAATCTAAGCTCCAAGAGGGCAAGAATTTTTGTCACTTTTCTTCATTGATGTACAGCAAGCACCTACAATATTGTGTGGCATGCAGTGGGTGTTAGTAAATACTTGCTGAATGAAAGAATAGCCACAAAGTACTTAAGCTGTAGATTCTTTGTTCTTTCATCATTAGAATTTGAAGTACTACTTATCTCATAGGTTTGAATGAGAAGATTAAATAGTTTAAATACCTAATACAAAGAAAGCATTCAATAGATATGTTTGATTTTGGTTTTTTTCCAATTTAGTGTGCCTCAAATTATTCCTACTCCTAATATCACAGATATTGTTTAGATCCTTCATCTCCTAATTCCCATTTTTATTTTCTCCCTTTCTTAAGTACATTGCCTGGCAGTGTATGAGCAAAATACAATATCTTATTTTGCATATGCTTAAGAGCATATACTTTCTAGCCATTGGCATGTCTTTTTTTTATGAACTTCCATTTTGTGTTTGTTCCCATTTTTTTCTGGTAGGTTTTTGTATTTACATATGAAGAGTTTTTCTTATATTAAAGGTACTAATCTTTATTCTTGACCTTGGGGTAGATGAGGATTTCTCAAATAGAGCATAGGAATCACTTACCATAAAATAAAAGATCAATAAATTGGACTTTATATTAAAATTAAGAACTTCTTTTTATGAAAAGGCAACTTTTAGAGTGAAAAGGGAAGGGCACTCCTGAAGATACTAACCCTTTTTCTGTCATGGGTTGCAAATGTTTTTTCCATGTTTTCTGTTTATGTGTTCTATCCCTATTTTGTTTGTCTTGTTTTTGCCAAATTAAAGTTTTACATTTTTAAAGCAGTTTTTTTAATTGGTGCTTTCTGGCTGTCATCTGTTCATTATAAATTTATACAAATATTCACCCATATTTTCTTCCGGCACTTTTATTGTGTTTTTGTTGTTGTTTTGTTTGTTTTTTAACACTTAAATCTCTGATTCTGAAGGGGTGACTTGTGGTTTAAAAAGTACTTTCACATTTCCTCTTCCTAAAAACCCTATTAAGGTGTTTTAAAATGTAGATTTTATTATTATTCAGATATGGTGAGGCCAATAGATCAGGAGACGATTGCCACTGAAAGCAGAGTTTGTTACTCACAGTCCCCAAATGAGGGGGCATGCCATGACTGGAAGCACCAGGGTTGGGTTGTTTAAGAGGCAGGAGTGAGGGCCAGAGCTGTTATTGTGGTTTCTGTGGGAAAGGCGGGGTAAGCAGATTTATAGGATTGGCTAGTTTGAATAATTTGAGGAGCTGTGTCTAGCGGTCTTGTACCTGGCCCTGGAGAGTGAAGGGATTTTGCCTCCTGGAATAAAAGAGCCAATAGAGGGAGTGGTTGGAGTGTGGGCTCTGGCTTGGTTAGTTTGCGTATGAAAGGTGTGTCCCGGGTGAGTGGTCGGCTGTCTCTAAGAATTGGCTAGCCCTGGGAGGGGCAGTCTCTCCCCAGTGTGCAACCCCCCAGATGCCAGAGCTTCAAGAAATACAGAAAGTAAAAAAATACTGTTAATACAGAAGGGGCTATTATAATTCCACTTTTCAGAGTTGGAAACAGATTAGAGAATTTACTTAACTACCCAAGACCACATACTTAGTAGTATAGGAAGCCAGAATTTAAACTTAGATCTCTCTATTCCAGCATCCAGATACTTCCCACTATTAACTTGCTACTCATAGTTGGGAAGAACATAATGAAAGACCCAAGACATCAAGCACAATTATATTTCCTGGAAATATCTATCTAATACATTTTAGTAGGATTTTCATTAAGACATTTTTAGATTTTTAAAGTTTGGATATTTAAAACCAAAGGCACTTACAATGCCCTTTGTACATATTAGAAGAGAGCACCCCGACCTCTGTTTGGTCTCAGCCTCGTGAATTTTGGCCTGTATTGTCCCCCTTAGCTGGGTACCTTTATTCATTTTACAACCTACTAACCATACTGAGAGGCCCTATTTTTAAAAAGAGGGTTTAGTGCTAGATGAAAGAAATTTAAATTACATAATTTTACATTTCTCTATCAGAAAATTCAGCAGTGTTTGTATGTAATTATTTATTAATTAATAAGTATTTTTTGGCTTTTATAGATTCATCACAAGTAAGAAAAGACTAGTAAACTTAAATCTACCAATTTCTTCATTCATTAAAATAGTTATCTCATGCCTACTCTGTGCCAGGCAGTGTTCTAGAAATTTAGGATATATCAGTGAACAAATGGGCAGAGGGGCAGAGAGTCCTGTCTTTGTAGAGCTTACTTTCGAGAAGGGGGGAGCCAAATCATAAGTAATAAAAGTAGATCAGGGGAAGGAATTTGGCGAGTATGTGGGGTGGGTGTGATGGGGCAGGTTGCAGTATCAAAGAGAGTGATCAAGGGAGACCTTATTAAGAAGGCAGGATTTGAGCAAAGGATGGAGGGAATTGGTGGATGTCTGAGGAAGAGCATTTCCAGCTGAGGGAGCATGGTAGGAGTCCCTGCTGTGCCTGAATACCAGCGAGGAGGCTGGGGCAGAAGGAGCAAGAGCAGGTCTAAGGGCAAGCCCGGGGGGGTGGGGCCAAGTGACACAGGGCCCTGGAGAATGTTGGAAGGACTGTAACATAGGTGTGCCTTGATCTGATTTGTCAAAGGATCACTGCGATTACTGAGCTGAGAATCAATAGGAGAGGTGCAGGTGTCAACACACAGCTGTCACGTGGTAGAGCCTGTGGTATGTTCCTGCTGGAACAAGGTAGTAGCAGTGACGGTGGTGAGAAGTCATTGGAAGTCATTTTTGCAGTCTAATAATCAGATATTTAAAAAATATATATTTGCCAGAAACATTTTATTTTTTCCTAGGCAAATGACGTTTACAAACTAAGTGGAAACGTGTGTATTCAACGGGTACCTTAAATGGGCTTGATGAGTTAAATGTTCTTGTCCGTTCTCTCTGTTGTGTTTTTTGAGAAAATATTGTAGATAACCATTAGAGAGCAACATCTGAGTGTTCTTTCAAAACATACAGAATCTATAGAACTAGTGTTCAGGATAATTTTGTGTACAAATTGGTTTCTTAATACATTATCTCTGTTTGCACAAGCTTTGCCGCGGGAAATCTACAGAGAGTTGTCCAAAGGTAAAATACATCATTGGCATGACATTCTCGTGATCTCTTCTGTGACATTGATAGTGAATATGTGTAATAAAATTTTTCTTTGCAATATGGGGAGATAGAAGAATCACTTGATGTGTTTAAAAGGTATTGTGGTGACTCTGGGAGAGAAGAGAAAAAGATAAATGTCAGAATTATTTAATGCTAATAACCTTCCTTTTAGTCTGTAAGCTCTTTTTAAATCAAGCAGGACAGCCTTGTGTTCTGGTGGAGCAGGTGAATTTGCCTGTGTGGTTTTCAAAGAGCTAACATTCAAAGGCTTCCTTCTTCTCTTATTAGTAGATACTAATTTCTTCTAGATTAAGACTTTGCTTTTGTTTAAATGCATGTAGCCATAAGAAGGTGTGATAGGATAGATAGGCTCTGCAGAAATTAAAGAAGGAAAAAATAGTAAGAATCAAAGCAGCTGAAGGCATGGGCACCTTTGCAGTGGTGTTCTGAAATGAAGATTAGAGAAGTACAAAAATAAAACATATCATAATTAGTTTTTGGTTAGCAGCATATATAATTAATATAAGAAAATATTTTAGCATAGATGGGGGGGGTCTTTATATATCCTGGATGCTGGGGAAGACTTTCTTTTTGCATAAAGTGCAAAAGAAAATTGTTGGGTAGACGAGTTCATCTTTTCGTTTTATTACTGAAAGTATTGATTAAATTTCTAAATGTTTAAAAGCAGTTTTTAAAATGACTTTTAAAAGACTTCCTATGTAAGCAGGCTGCTTTGATCATATCAGTTCTTTGCTTTTGCAGTTGTTGCTTTGGGATATACTATCTATTTATTATACATCTGGAAAATTTTTGTTGTATGCAATAATCTTTATGCAGAGGTAAATTACAAGGTATGTTTTAGGTTTCAGAGGTTGACTGTATCAAAATTAACTCTTTTTTTTTCTTTCCTCAGAATGAACTAACAGATACACGTGCAAAATTCCACGTGCTTTTTCTTTTCTTTGTGTCTGCAATGTTCTTCATCAGCATCCTCTCACTTTTCAGCTACCACTGCTGGCTAGTTGGGAAAAATAGAACAACAATAGGTAAGTAGGTTAAAATAAGATATAATTATTTAGGAAAATGACCACAAATGAATATGAAATCTAGAGAAGGACAATAGTTAAACAACAGAGAAGTGTAAAATAATTCTGTATTAAAATAACTGTCACTGGATGGAAACAATGGGTACATAATAAATGTAAAGGTGCATTATTTTGAAGAGGGTTGAGGAAGTAAGATTGACTTTTATATATATTTTCAGTAATGTGGTACATATGAAAGGGAATGGTTATATTTTATAAATTTTAATAAAAGCTGTTTCCTGCATTTTATAGTCTTTTCAAAAACCAATCTGTGAAAGATAGACAGTAGATTTATATGCTCTAAGGAGGTTTATTCTCAGCAAAACATAATAATTTTTAATCCTTAATTACAGTTCATCTTTTAGCTAAAACAGACAACCAATATATTTCATATATTTTCTTTACTTTTTCCCCGTACAGTTACACATGACTGGCCTATGTTCCATTGATTGAGGCTAAGGAATAGTGTTTTTTACATGCTTCATTATTTCCACCTTTGTGTCAGTTTTCAGTGAAATTTTTGTGTTGTATCATGATTATCAGCATTTCTTTCTTTCTTTTTTTTTTTTTGGTGTCTGTCCAGTAATGGGATCCAAACCCTTGACCTTGGTGTTATAAGCACCACCCTCTAACCAAGTGAGCTAATCGGCCAACCCTTTTTACTCATTTTTAAAAAATGAAAATATAGGGGAAGAATTCAGTAAGGTATTCAAGTAATTGGACAAGCATTTCCTAAACCGAGATGGCAGCATTGCTCACAGTGAGCCATTGGCATGTAAGCAGCACCACTGTGTGAGAATTGATACATTTATACAAGGCTACTAGAAAGAGTTCGTGGGAAAATAGAATTGAAAGGTAATAGATAATAGAATCTTAGGCTGGCCCGTGGCTCACTCGGGAGAGTGCGGTGCTGATAACACCAAGGCCGCGGGTTCGG